TGTGACTCTTGCTTAAGCCTTCTGCAGATAGTTTTCCAATTTTGTCAACACCATTTGTTAAAAAGGCTGTCGTTTCCCACTTAACTGATTTCATCTCCTTGTCAAAAATCAGTTGACCATAAATAGATGGGCTGATTTCTGGATTCTCAATTCTGTTCCATTGATCTATGTGTATGTTGTTGTACCAGTACCATGCTGTCTTACCTACCATGACAGTGTGGTAGGGAAACACTATATTGTTTAAAATAAGTTAAGATGTGTATGTACTAGTGTGCTATATCATCACCATATTTATTTAGGGAGCCCTCGTGGTGTAATGGATAAGGAACTTGCTGACAACCCAAAGGCAAAAAGTAGGAATTTATGAGCTGCTCCTTGGGAGAAAGATGCGTAATCTCCTCCCATGCAATTGATAGCCTCTGAAAACTGCTGGAGGGTTAGTTATGAGTTGGTTTCAGTTTAACGACAATACAACTTAGTGAAGCTTTGTCTCAAATACTTTGTATAATCAAAACACTAATAAATATATTTCTAGTATTCTGTGCTTTTAGTCAAAATCCATTTGACATCAGCAATGGCATCCTTTGTTCCATGGCTCCTTCTGACTCTGTTGCTTTTCTCTTTGTCATATGTGATTAATTACGTGTTGCTGTGTTGCTGTGAAGCTGGGAGCTATGTTGCTGGTATTTCAAATGTCTCCAAGGTTAACTTTCAAGGATAAGCATCAGCAGAGCTACCAAACTAACAGATTACATTTGTTAGAATAATTTGATAGGACTGACGAGTCATTTTGAGTGCTCAGTAAAGATTAGTACCCATGGATTTAGAATGGCATGATTATATGATTTCTCTTTTTTTTCTTTAATAACATCCAGAAGTTCAGTGTAGGAAGGATAAGTTAAGCCAAATAATGAAAATAGTAGGAAAGTTTTAAGTTTATTTTATTTGAAACAGAACTTGGCAAATTATGGAAGAAATGATGAATAAAATAAGGAAAGAAGACATCACTGGAAAAATTGGTAGAAGAACACAGAGAGAATTAAAAAAAATCCGTACTTGTGAGAGGAGTGGAAAGATAAGTTTACATGTTTGAATTTTGGATTATAGTGATAAATAATTCCATTTGATGACAGGACTGGAGGTGTGTTTACAATGGATGTTTGTGGTCGACTGGTATGGTGGTAATGACTATCGGAGATGAAGAAATCAAGGTTTTGAGGTAATAGGTTTTTCTTTGGAATGACTCACTATGATGGCAGAAGTCGGCAGCTAGATTCTGATGGCAGAAGTCGGCAGCTAGATTCTCTCAAACTTTCCATTAATAAGCTTGAGTATATAATAGCAAAAAGGAAGAATAAAAGTTGGCAGACATTAAAGATTAATTATTTGAATGTCGCATTAAAGAACAAAGGGATTTGACTCTACCTTCTAATCTTGAGAAAGGCATTTATGGAAAATAAGCGCCCCTCAATTAAGAGAAGTTTAAAGCAAGCCAGGATACTTAGATATTAATAAAGTACAGATGGAACACACCTTAGAAGTTCACAATGTGGGGGGATTTGATCATAATGGGATGGAATCCCTGAGGTTACAGGGGAGGGTAGGATAGAACTTTACTAGGCACCTGATAACTTGTACAACAAACAAGAAAAGGTGAGATGTGAAGCTAGAAGATGTAGATGGTTTAAAGGGTGACAGAGAATTTGGGCAGCAATGTAACCAGCTGTTGGATTCAGCAGATCAACCAAGTTTGTGAGGTAAATTTCCTCTTCTCTTTTCCTTTCAGATGTATCTTTCTTTCTAAAAGCATAATTAATGGATCTTTTTGACCTCTTTTTTTTTGAGTCCCCTTTTTCCTTTCTGTCATTCTGTGACCCCGCCTCCTGGACGAGTGGGCGGGACTTGGGCGGAGCGTACGGGAGTGGGCGGACCCTCCCATCTTTCCGGGGGGCTGGGAGGACGTCACTGACGTAAGAGGACATCCGGTCTCCGCCTGGTGTCAGCCGCCGGATCCTGTGCTTTTTGGCTTCTTGGGGTCCTCTACTCCCCGAGAGTTCTGGGCTACTGGTTGAGTTTATTGTTGGTGCACCCCTGTCCCACACCGTCCCCTGCCCTTCGGCACCTGCAGGGAACGGGCCTCCCGCGAAGGTGAGCGAGGTCGCCCCGCAGCGCGCGCCAGGTAGGGTGCCCCGCGGGCGATGACAGGCGCCTGTTCCGCGAGCCGCGTGGCGCCTCCACGGCGTCCCTTCTGGATCCCCCGTTACTCTCCTGCATCCTCAGACTCCAGGCTTGTCCTTTAAAGCCTCGGGGTCCCTTTGCTCATTTCCTTATTTGGTGACACAAGCCAGATCAGCGGAAACCGGGTCGTTCCGGAATTAAGGATTTAAACCCGTTTAAACTTGAGAAAGGAATTCGCACTTTAACATTCCCAAACAAATGAAAAAAAAAAAAAGAGTTTACAGTTGTCAGTAGATTTAAAAAGACCTCTGAGTGTCTGAAATTCATCCAACTCCGCATCTACTGATTATTTTCGCGAAGACATTACACAGTTTTGTCACTTTGTAGATTTTGCCATTTTAAGTACCTAGTAGTGTAAACACCTTACTACTGTCTACTAAATGCTCTCCTGTCTTAGCCTGCCCACATTTTTGAGCTAACCACTTGATTTTTGATTTGTCAATAAGAATCAGTCAGAGTAAGTACAAGCTGATTCATGGTCATGGGGTAATGTACAGTTCTGAAAGAGAAAGCCAGATTTCGTCGAAGTTTGTATTTTGGGACTTTCTCACATTATCGTGGATGTGCTTGTGATTTCTTTGAATGTATTTTGTATTATCAGAGAAGTTTTGCATCAGAGTGACTATTGAAACTTGAGCCTGGCTTGGAGATTTAGCACTTTTTGATCTTGCGTAGGACCTGGAAGTTTAAATCTATGTTTTTAGGAAATTATACAGTTGATCTTTGAGAATGGTAGCTTAAGTATGGCTGTTGTACATAGGGTGGCTATGAGTCGCAGGCGACTCGATGGCACATAACAACAACAACAACATATATATGTTTACATATGTATCAATACCATAATTTAGACACACAAACATCCATGAAACTGATGACATAGTACATCGCTGTAAAGCAGAAAAACTAGGCATGGCGGAATTTACTCCTGGGTTCGCTGGAGAAAGATGGGTAGTCTCTTTCTCAGATTTATAGCATTGGTCTTTTCTTCACCTCTTTACTTCCCAAGAAATATCCTGTCTCACTCCCTGGGACATTTCTTTTCTGATGTTGTGTGCTGTTGAGTCGAAATCGACCCATGGTTGACCCTCTGAAGGGTTTTCAGAGATTTAGTAGCATAGGAGGAGATTGCCCGTTCTTCTCCCTCTGAGCAGCTTCTTAAATTTATAGCCATGGAAACTGGAGAAGGTGGTTGCTGTGAATCAAGTTTAGCTGGACTGCAGTAGATTTCATTTTTTGGCATTCTGGTGGCTAGTAATTAGGGAGTTTCGCTTCCAATCCAAAGGAGGCACCTTTCTGGCAGTTTTAATCCGCCACTCACTCTACAGGAGAAAGATAGACAATCTGTGTGAATCACAGTTTTCTGAAAACCTGCTCAGGGGTCACCTATGAGTTGATTCCTACTGGATGAAATGAGTTTAAGTTTTCGATACACATGTGTACAATGAATTTTGAGATTTCCTGAGTTCATGTTTAAAAGTAAGCACCTAGATTGTTCGTTTATATTTTGATTCCTATATGAGTGCTTAGTATGTGGTAGGCATGCTGGAATGTGACCTTTAAGAAAAGTGATGTTGGTGATACCCTTAGATAACTTTGAAATCCTTAGGTTGGATTAAAATCCATTTAAAAGTGTATGATTTAGTAAAAACCATTGTTTCCCTGAAAGTGATAGTTCTCTGAATTGACAGAAACAGTTTTTAAAGTCTTGATGTATTGTTTGCTGCTGGGTGCCATCAAGTTGGGTATGACTCATAGCAACCCTATGAATTATAGATCCGAACCTTGTTCTCTCCTGTGCCAACTTCATAGTCTCTGACACGCTTGAGTGCATTCATTGTGTCAATTCATCTGGTTGAGGGTCTTCCTCTCTTTCGCTGACCTTCCACCTTTCCAAGCATGATGTCCTTCTCCAAGGAATAACCTTTCCTAGCAGCATGCTCAAAGTGTGCAATATGAAGCTTTGTCATCGAGGAGGACTCTGGCTTCACCTCCAGGCCATAGTTTTTTGTTCTTTAACCTTTTGATATGTTGTTGTTGTTATGTGCCACCGAGTCTTTGATACAGTAAATATATATTAAACACCCTCTTGATGTAATAAACATATATTCTTAAACATCAGTTTGAACCCTACTAAAATTGTAGCCCCACTGCATATGGAGCAAAGACTGCATTTCAAAGTGTCAAATTAGCTTCAAACATGTAATTTCAGAGAGAGAGAGAGAGTAGTTTGACTTTGTAGTTACTCTTGTCATTTGACTTGACTATTAAGTGTTTTATTTAGATATTGTCACAGGAAAAATTAGACTTGTTATACTTCAAGTCTTCGCAGCCTCCAGGTCACCTGAATAGCTTTAAAATCTGATGAGTTGAAATGTGAGTGGTGTACTTTTAAAATATCTTCTTTGTAATGATAAATGCCTAATACAATTTTTACTTTAGTTTGACACAGAAACCCCCAAACCTTTGGCTTTTTAAGAGAAATGGTTTCTTTGTGCTTACATATTTAAAATTGTTTGGTAGTCTAAATAAGTGCCTTGAGTTAAAGAGTCGTCTGCTTTATTTGGGATAATGTGTTTTTAATACTTCATAAAGTTTTAAAATATGTGCCTTCCCGTCAAATTGACAGGATTGAGTTCAAATAGAGTTCAAAATTTAACACGAATGAGAGCACTTCATTATACTATCTTTTTGGTTCATTTACAATAGTAAATGTAACTAGGCAATCAAATCTTCTTTGCTCTTTTTGGTAGAAAGAAGAGAAGATGCCTAAAAAGAAGACAGGTGCAAGGAAGAAAGCAGAGAACCGTCGAGAACGTGAAAAACAACTAAGAGCATCAAGAAGCACCATAGATTTAGCCAAGCATCCATGCAATGCCTCAATGGTAATAGCTTTTATCTGATAGCAACTTACCATTGAAAGACTATGTCATAGTTATCTGAAATATAACTTGGTAAAATATGAGCAAATATATTTATGTATCATTTACTGTTGAATACAAAACTGGCTATAGAAGTATGTCTGTTGTTTTAGTTAGCAGTGATTTTGTTAGATCCTGTGTTCTTTTTCAAATCTAATATAGTACTTCAGACACTGTTGGTGGCAAGTAGATATTGAACAAGATTCACAGATGTAAAATGTATAGTTTTTCAGCTTTTCTCACCTTATTTGCTTTAACTTGATTTGTCCTATTAATTGAACCCTTTCTGTTATATTCTCTTAGCAATTTGAACAACTGTGATTTCTCTTTCTGAACTTTCCACATTTCTTGAATTTAGACTTTCTGTTTAACCAAGTTCTCTCCCTTATGCCAAGTGTGTTAGTCCTGCTAATTTTAAGGTTTCTCTAAATGGTGAAAAAGTAAAATTCATTGCTTCTCTGAATTAATTCATGCTTTCCTGTTTTCTCTTTTCTATGCCCACTACTTTTACTTCTTTCATTGAAAAGATACGAGATGTTTAATGTGACTTCATTCACCAAATATTCATTGTGCATCTACTATGTGGCTGGTACTATCCTAGGTGCTGTGGGACGGACATTTGTCGATGAAAACTCAGTCTCTGTCCTCAGTAAGCATGCAGCTTTGTGGTGGTGTTCATTAGGATTTATTTGTAAGGTATAGCAATCAAATGTTGATAACCTTATGGGGAAATGGAGTCATTAAATGAATAGTGAAATAATTTATGCAATTGAGAAAGGCAAAGGACTCACGAACAATTTCCCCCTCCTTTTTATATTTCCTTGCTAGCTCCATTTTTTTTCAGATTGCCCTCTCTGTTTGATTCATAGCCTTTGGTGGCTGCATGTTTTCAGTTATATATTACTCTTCTCAGAGAAGGGGAAAGCTCTTGATAGCCCAGGTATAAGCAGATGCCCTTTTCAGAACTAGTATTTTCCAGGGTGATAAGAATGAACAGTAAATAAAAGACTTACATGCATAAATGCATATAATCCAAGTTGGACTTTGATGACTGTTAAAGTGCAAAGATATTGTTGTGAGCATAAAAAGAAAGATACAAAGCACAAGGAAGAATTCAAGATACTAAAGAGCTGAACAGAAGATTTCAAAAGGCAGCACGGGATGACAAAGTAAAATATTACAATGAATTGTGCAAGGAGCTGGAGTCAGAAAACCAAAAGGGTAGAACTTGCTTAGCATTAAGAAACTGAACAACAAATTCAAACCTCAAGTTGCTATAATCAAGGATGCTTTAAACAATCAGTAAGTATCAAAAGAAGATGGAAAGAATATACTGAGTCATTGTATTGAAAGGAATTGGTAGACACAGAAGAATTTAAGAAAACAACATATGAGCAAGAGCCTAGGGTGATGAAGGAAGAAGTTCAAGCTGCTTTGAAGGAAATAGCAAAAAATAAGGCCCCAGGAATAGATGGTGTACCAATTGACATATTTCAGCTAAGAAATGCTGTCCTGGACGTGCACACCAAGTTGTGCCAGGAAATCTGGAGAACAACCACTTGGTCAACTGACTGGAAGAGATCGATATTTGTTCCCATTCCAAAGAAAGGTGACCCAACAAAGTGTGGAAACTATAGAACAGTATTGTTGATTTCACATGCAAGCAAGAGTCTGCTGAAGATTATCCAAAAACGAATGAAAGAGCACATCAGCAGAGAATTGCCAAAAGTCCAATCTGGGTTTAGAATGGGTCGTGGTACTAGGGATATTGTAGCTAATGTTAGTTGGATCTTAGCTGAAAGCAGGGAGTACCAGAGGAATGTCTATCTTTGTTTCATTGATTATGCAAAGGTGTTTGACTGTGTGGACCATAACAGACTGGCTGACTCAGAAGAATGGGAATCCCAGAACACTTGATCATGCTAATGTGAAACTTACACTTGAACCAAGAAGCAGTTGTCCGAACAGAGCAAGGAAACACTGCATCGTTCAAAATTGGGAAGGGTGTATGCCAGGGATGTGTCCTGTCTCCATGCCTTTCAACCTGTATGCAGAACAGATCATCCGGGAGGCTGGGCTCTATGAGGAGAAATGCGGCATCAGGATTGGTAGAAGATCTATCAACAGTCTGTGTTATGTAGATGATACAACCCTGCTTGCTGCAACTGAGGAAGACCTGAAGCGCTTGCTGCTGAGGTTCAGGGACTACTGCCTTCAATATAGATTGAGGCTCAATGCCAAGAAGACAAAGATTCTCACCACTGGACCAATTGGCAGCATCAGGATGGATGGTGAAGAGACTGAGATTTTTCACAGCTTTAGTCGGCTTGGCTCCACAATCAACACTCTTAGCACCAGCAGCCAGGAAGTTAAAAGACGTATTGCGGTGGGAAAGTCTGCTGTTAGGGACCTCTCTAAAGTACTGAAGAGCAACGGTTTTTCTCTGGAGACTAAGGTGCGTCTGATACAGGCCATGGTCTTTGCAATCACTTGTTATGCGTCAGAGAGCTGGACAGTGACCAGGGAGGATAGAAGGAGAATTGATGCTTTTGAGCTTTGGTGTTAGAGAAGAGTGCTAAGGGTACCATGGACTGCTTTTGAGCTTTGGTGTTAGAGAAGAGTGCTGAGGGTACCATGGACTGCTAAGAAACAGATTCATCCTGGAGAGGGTTAAACCAGGCTGCTCCTTGGAGGCAAGGAATTCTGAGACTTCGTCTGACCTACTTTGGTCATATTGTAAGGAGGGACCAGTCCTTGGAGAAGGACATCATGGTTGGGAGGGTGGAGGGCAGCGCAGAAAGGGAAGGCCCTCTATGCGGTGGATTGATTCGGTGACTGGGGCAATCAGGATGAGTGTGTCGGAGACAATGAGATTGGCACAGGACAGAGCAGAGTTTAGAGCTGTTGTACATAGGATCACTGTGAGTTGGAAGCGACTCGATGGCACATAACAACAACAACATAAGAAGGATTGGCCATCTACTTCCAGACTAGAACTGGCCTTCGAAACCCTATGTACAAGAGAGCACACTTAGAATATGGCAGTTGGGGCAGTGGGGATAGGTGTGTCGTTGCCAATGAGACTGGTTATGAACATGGAAGACTTCATAGGTGGTGTACTTAGGGTCGTTACAAGGCACAGTCAACTCGACGGCACATAACAACAACAAACTTGATTTTATTGAGTGTATGAAGAAGGTGTATTTCATAGAGAAGATAGGATCATTTCCAGAACTTTAAAAAAAATTATTATTAAATTTTATTAGTTTTAATGAACATTTACAGAGATTTTGGGTTCTCATTCATTCATTGTTGCACTGTTTTCGCTACCCTCCTCCCCAGTTCGTTCTTCTCCCCTCCCCCCCACCCCCCATTTCCAGAACTTCTAATACGGAGAGACTAAGGAAAATGTATTCAAAGAAAACATGAAGAAGAGAAAATGTAATATGCACTTGGGATATTCCTGTTTAATAGTGATTTAAGTGTGTGTTAATCCTTGCATACCTGAGTGGAATTGGAGGTTTCAGAGACATTATCACTTAACTTTTACCATAAATAGCAATATGTATCTTTTATAATAGAAGTAAATTTTTAGTCTTTAGCCAGTTGGAAAAATTAATGTTCTGTCTTTCTCTTTGCAGGAATGTGACAAATGTCAGAGGTAATTTTTCTTTTCCTTTTACATGTGATAATGAAATAAGTTCACTCACTTTTTAAACTGATATTGACTATGTGTGTTTGTTTTTTGGTGTTTTGGTTTTTTTTCAATGACAAGGAGACAGAAGAATCGAGCATTTTGCTATTTTTGTAACTCTGTACAGAAGTTACCAATTTGTGCACAATGTGGTAAGTATATAAGTAAGGATAGATGCCTTTTATCAAACATTTGTTTTAAAGTTACTACATTGTATTTTTAAAAAAGGTTAATAAATTTTATCTAGTAAGTTTATTATTATTTACCATGCATAATAATGATCCTAGGCAATACCATAAATGACCCTAAATTACTATTTGACTTACCAAAAATTGATCAAGGCTTGGTTTTACCTCTACATAATTCCGAAAAACAGTTGAGATATAGTTTTAGGTTATCAACAAGTTACAGTAAACATTAGAGAAATTTCATTTCTTGGACTGCCAAGAAAACAGATTCATCCCGGTGAGGGTTAAACCAGGCTGCTCCTTGGAGGCAAGGATTCTGGGGCTTCGTTTGACATACTTTGGACATGTTGTAAGGAGGGACAGGTCCTTGGAGAGGGACATCATGCTTGGTAGGGTAGAGGGATAGCATAGGAGGGGAAGACCCTCTATGAGGTGGATTAATTCAGTGACTAGGGTAATTGGGATGGGTATGTTAGAGGCAATGCGACTGGCACAGGATAGAGCAGGGTTTAGGGCTGTTGTACATAGGGTGGCTATGAGTTGCAAGCTACTCGACAGCACTTAATAACAACAATAACATATGTGCTGCTGAAGTGAGCATGACTTCCCTAAGTTATATTTGGAAGTGATTGATTTGTAAGTATATTGGAGGAAACTCTTAAGGTAGAAACTTTTTTTTAAATTAATTTTTGTGTGTGTACCATTAGATCGGATCTGACTGGTACAGGAGGAGATTGCCCCTCCTTCTCCAGCAGAGCATCTTGTGGATTCGAACCATGTACTTCTGGGGTTGCAGTGCAGCTTCTTGTCACTAGGCCATCAGAAGTCCCTTTATGTAGAAACTTTTAACCCAAAATGATGTTCAGACTAAAACTAGAAGGAGTAGAAAGATTGGTGTTTTATTCTTAGTGTTACCTAAATTCTGAGATAATGATAGAATTATATTTGAGAAATACTAAAGAAATATTACATGCTCTATTCTCTAATCCCCATCTGTAAGATTTGTAGTATTTTGCATATTAATATTTTTTAATTCCTTGAGTAAATAATTTTGACATTAACTTTATTCATTCCATGTTCTCTCACACTTTAATTTGAAGAAGTATATACTTAGTTTATCGGACAATAGTTTTAAATGAAATAGTTTGAGATATGATCAGTTAAATGCTCTTAATGTACCATAGCAGGACAGAAGGTAGGAATATTTATGTGTGCATCCTTGACTATTTCAGGGTAGTTGCAGCTTTCAAAGGAAGCTTTCAGTTCTAAAATTAATGAAAATGCAGTTGACTAAATGGTACACTCAGCTGCTAGCTTTTATATTCTAATCATTGAAACAGATGGATATAGGGGGCAGAAAATAGACAACAAGGAAAGGTAAAAGATTAGTTTATTAGAATTGCCCCATATTTACAGTGGCTCTGGTTCTGAATCATTTTGCATAGTACTGTGTATTCTCTGGAGACTAAGGTGCGCCTGATACAGGCCATGGTCTTTGCAATCACTTGTTGGACAATGACTAGGGAGGACAGAAGGAGAATTGATGCCTTTGTGCTGTGGTGCTGGAGAAGAGTATTGAATGTACCATGGACTGCCAGGAAAACAAACAGATTCATCCTGGAGAGGATTAAACCAGGCTGCTCCTTGGAGGCAAGGATTCTGGGGCTTCGTCTGACATACTTTGGACATGTTGTAAGGCGAGACAGGTCTTTGGAGAGGGACATCATGGTGGGCAGAGTGGAGGGACGGCGCAGGAGGGGAAGACCCTCTATGAGATGGATTGATTCAGTGATTGGGGTAATCGGGATGGGTGTGTCAGAGGCAATGAGATTGGCACAGGATACAGCAGGGTTTAGGGCTGTTGTACATAGGATTGCTATGAGTCACAAACGACTCGACAGCAAATGACAACAACTGTGTATAAATAGATTTTTCTCTTGCTGATTCTTGTACCTAGTGTTAAGAATGGAAGAACTATGTGATTGTTGCTGTAATTTCCTGTGCTTTTCCCATTTCCTGTTGCTCAGCTTTGTTCTTTAGGTAATCAAGATAAAAATAATGAGCATCTTCTGCTTCATTAGTGCTACACTTTGTGGTGTCCTAGTGGGTGGTTCTAGGAGGCAGGATGGGCCATATAGTTCCTGAATAACAAACCTTTGAAAACTTTATGAACATTAAACAGACAGGATACTTCTGGTAGTATAGTGGTAGAGCCCAGACTGGAAGTCAGTACAAATTAGGAAAATCAATAACAAACATTCTTTAACAATTGGAACATGGAATATATGTAGCTTGGACATTGGAAAACTGGAAATTATTAAAAATGGAACTCATGAGTATAAACATACTGGGCATTAGTGAGATGTGATGTACCAGTTTTGGCCACTTTGAATCAGATAATCATGGAATACTACGCAGGGAATGAAAAACAGGAAGAATAGTGTTGCATTCATATTAAAAATGTCAGGTTAAGTTCTATCCTGAAATTCAATGTTGTGAGTAATAGGATAACATCCTTACACATACAAGGAAGACCCGTTACCATAATTATTCAAATATATTCTCCTACATCTAGTCAAAGAGGAAGAAATTGAGAATTTTTGCCAAATTTTGCAGTCTGAAATTGACTGAACCTGCAGTCAGGATGCATTAATGATAATTGGTGACTGGAATGCAAAAGTAGGAAATAGGAGGAAGCAGCAGTAGTTAGAAAATCGGGGCTTGGTGATAGAAATGAAACTGGAAATAGAATGATTGAATTTTGTATTTATAATGATTTATTCACTGAAAATACCTTTTCTAAAAGACACAAAGGACGACTTTACATGTGGATCTTACCTGAAAGACTGCACAGGATCAGATTGACTACATTTGTAGAAGAAATAGTTGGAGATGCTCAATATTAGCAGTTAAAACTAGGCCAGGGGCAGACTGGGGGTCAGATCATCAATTACTTAATATACAAGTTCAAATTGAGGCCAAAAAAAAAATAGGTCCACAGGAACCAAGATATGATCTTTAATCAATTCTGTATGAATTTTATGATCATCTTAATAATAGTTTTGAGGCATTGAACACCAGTGATAGAAGACTAGTTGAGTTGTGGGATGCTATCAAGGATATCATTCATGAAGAAAGTAAAAGGTCACTACATAAACAGTTGTTGTTATGTGCCGTCAAGTTGCCTACAACTCATAGTGACCCTTTGTACAACAACCCTAAACCCTGCTCTATCCCTTCCCAGTCTTATTGTCTCCTACACATCTGTCCCCATTACCCCAGTGACTGAATCAATACATCTGACCGAGAGTCTTCCTCTCCTGCGCTATCCTTCCACCCTCCCGTGCATGACATCACTCTCGAAGGACTGGTCCCTCCATGCAACATGTCCAGAGTATGTCAGATGAAGCTTCAGAATCCTTGCTTTCAAGGAGCAGCCTGGCTTCACCCTCTCTAGGATGAACTTGTTTGTTCCCCTAGCATGCCATGATATATTCAGTACTCTTTTCCAGCACCACAGCTCTAAGGCATCAACTCTCCTATTATCCCTAGTCATTGTCCAGCTCTCTGATACATAGGAAGTGATTGCAAAGACCATGGCCTGTATCGGGCGCACCTTAGTCTCCAGACTGACATTGTTGCTCTTCAGTACTTTGGAGGGGGTCTCTGACAGCAGAGTTTCTCAATGCAATTTGTCTTTTTAATTTCCTCGCTGCTGGTACCAAGAGTGATTGTAGAGCCAAGCAAACTGAAGCTGTCAACAATTTCAACCTCTTCACCATCTATCATGATGCTGCCAATTGGCCCACTGGTGAGAATCTTTATTTTCTTGATGTTGAGCTTTTTCCATATTTAAAGCTGCAGTCCTTGACCTTCTGCAGCAAGCACTTCAGGTCCTCCTTAGTTAGCAGGGTGGATGTCAGAAGAGACTAAAGATTGCACTGGAGCGCAGAGAAGAGAAGATTAAAGGAAAATGTGTCAAAGTGAAAGAGCTGAACAGACAAATTCAGAGAGCAGCTCTAGAGGACAAAAGTATAATGGAATGTGCAGAGAGTTGGAATTGGAGGACAAAAAGGGAAGAACTTCCTCTACATTTTTCAAGCTGAAAGAACTGAAAAACAAATTTAAGCCTCATGTCACGATATTGAAAGATGCTATGCGTAATGTATTGAATGACCTGGAAAGCATCAAAAGAAGATGGAGAGATTGCACAGAGTCACTGTACCAGAATTGACAACTGAACAATTTCAGGAAGTACCATATGAGCAGGTGCCAGAGATAAGGAAGAAGAAGTGACTTTGAAGGCATTGGCAAAATATAAGGCCCCAGGTATGGTATGTGATACCAGTTGACTTTCAATTAACAGAGCCAGCCTTGGATGCACTCAACAGTCTATGCCAGGAAATTTGGAAGACAGCTGTCTGGCCAATGGATTGGAAGAGGTTCATATTTGTTCCCATTCTCAAGAAAGGTGATTCAACTGAATGTGGAAATTACCAAACAATATCATTGATATCACATGCAAGCAAAAATACTGCTGAAGATCATTCAAAATCGGCTGAAACAGTATATAGATAAGGAACTGCCAGAAGTTCAGACAGGATTTAGAAGAGGCTGTGGCAACATGAATATCCATTGCTGATGGATCCTGACTGAAATTAAGGAAGACCAGAAAAATATCTATTTGTGCTTTATTGAATATTCAGAGTCATTTGGCTTTGTGAATAATGATAATTTGTGGCTAACAACGAGAAGAATGGGAACCCCAGAGCACTTTACTGTGCTCATGTGGGACCTGGACCTGAACCAGGAGGCTGTTGTGTGAACAAAGCCAGGGAGCACTGATAGTTTGGAATTGGGACGGTAGTGCTCCAGGGTTGTATTCTGTCTCTATACCTATTCAGTCTGTATGCTGAGCAAATTATCCAAGCAGCTAGACTCTCTGAGGAGGAGTGTGGCATGAAGATTGGAGGGAGACTCATCAATAACCTGCGTTATGCAGATGACACCTTACTCGTTGAAAGTAGGAGGGCTTGAAGCACTTTTTGCAGAAGATCAAAGAAAGGAGACTTTGGTGTGGATTGCATCTCATTGTCAGGAAAACAAAGGTTCTTATTACTGGACCAATTGGCAGTATCATAATGGATGGAGAGGAGATTGAAATTATCAACAGCTTCATCTTTGTTGGATCCACAATTAACACCCTTGGTATGAGCAGTCAGGAGTTAAGGAGACACATTGCACTGGGAAAATCTGCATTTAGGGACCTTTTCAAATTACTGAGGAGTAGGATCGAAGGAGAATTGATGCCTTTGAGCTGTGGTGATGGAGAAAAGTATTGAATATACCATGGACTGCTAGGAGAACAAGTTCATCTTGGAGAGGGTGAAGCCAGGCTGCTCCTTGGAGGCAAGGACTCTGAAACTTCGTCTGACATACTTTGGACATGTTGCCAGGTGGGATCAGTCCTTGGGATGGCATGGTTGGGAAGATGAAGGGACAGCGCAGGAGAGGAAGACCCTCGATGAGATGGTTTGATTGAGTGACTAAGGTAATGGGGGTAGGAGTATCAGAGACAAAAGATTAGAGCAGGGTTTAGGGCTGTTGTACATAGGGTCACTATGAATTACAGGTGTCTCGGTGGTACATAACAACATAATAGCAGTTTGAAGACTAAGGTTCATCTAATTCAAGCCATAGTCTTTCCGATAACTAGCTATGCATCTGAGAGCTTGATAATGAATGAAGATGACAGTAAAGGATGCCTTTGAGCTGTGGTGTTGGAGGAGAACACTGAACTTCCCATGGATGCCCAAGAGAACAAACAGTTATGTCTTGGAGAGGGTGCAACCAGAGTACCCTTTGGAGACAAGAAAGATGAGGCTTTGCCTCACATAGTTTGAACATACTGCTAAGAAATGCTATTCCTTGGAGAAGGGCATGATGCTGGGAAGCATTTAGGGTTGGTGAAGGAGAGGGAGACCTTCACCACGTGGATTGATGACGGTGACTGGAGCAATGGTCTGTGTGTGTCAGGAAGTGTGAGGATGGCACAGGATAGAATAGGGTTCAGATCTTTTTTTTTATAGGTTCGCTGTGAGTCATACTCAACTTGATGGCACCTAACAACAGGGTGACTAGAAAGTAATTGTTAATCCATACTCAGAAGTACAATATTTGAAAAATGAATTTTTGGTAGTGCCTTGGATTGATAATTTGTGAATAGGTCAAAGCTTTTGTGAATTTTTAAAATTTTTAGCTCTATTACTATATTCTGTTTTTAGTTCATTTAAATCACTGTTTCAGAAATCCCATTGAATGTTTACCTTGGGCTATTTTAATATATGATATTATGTTATACATAAACTTAATAATAAACAAGATAAGGTACATAATCATTGCATTTAGTTAAACTGTCTTTATTTTCATTTATAAAATATAAAATGTACTTTGAAGCTTTGCTATTTAAAAATTTGTTTTAAGTTTATCTGAAAATTCTTAAGATTTTTAGCTGCTGTAAATGATATTTAGGTTATAATGCATAAATTAGTTTCTTAAAGTACAGAAACTAACTGGCATGGAAGTTACTTTGCAATAAATTTTAACAACTTTATTAATGATTATAAAATTAATAGTAATTTTATACTATTAAAATATTTAATCCAATCTCAATTATATCCTTTTCATTGTTTACATAAGCAGTAATTTACAATTTTGAAAGCACTCCATTTGCTTTAAAAATTTTGCTCAATGATAATTTATCTTGAGTTATGTTAGTGAGTACTTGCTTATTTTATAAGACTAATGCAAAGTTTTTTTGTTGAAAGGGAAAACAAAGTGTATGATGAAGTCTTCAGACTGCGTCATAAAGCATGCTGGAGTTTATAGTACCGGCCTTGCGATGGTGGTAAGCTTCTCCTCATTATCTCTTAGGACTAGCAGATTTCTAAGGATAGGAATAAATCACCTGGACCATTGGTGGTTTTTTTCTAAATAGAAATTCTTTTCTTCTTTTTTTCGATTCACCTGAAGTTATCTAGATTTCCTATGGCAGGGTTTTTATATGTTTTACCTTATTATTCCTAGGTGGCGACGAGTTGAGTACCTCATAGCCACCATATAAACAATAGAGCTGAACCCTGTCCTGTCCTAACCACATAATCTGTGACACACTCCAGCCCATTGCTGCAGTCACTGTGTCAGTCCACCTGATTGAGGGTCTTCCTTTCCTTCCCTGTCCCTCCACCTTTCTAAGCATGATGTCCTTCTCCAAGGAATAATTTACAGTTTACTTAATCTGGCTGCTGCTTTCTTCCTTACTGGCACCTGTTCAAGGAATGGAAGCTGATTTTAATGTTCACTCCAACAGAAATCTGTTTGTAATTGTATTCATTCTGTTGATAGTACTTTTCTAATGTGTACTCATTAAACTACAGAAACCACTATTGCTAAGCATCTGTTCTACTGAAAGCACTGCTATTTACCAAGGTTCAGATTTTTTTCCAAATAGGCAACATAGTTCTACTAGAAATATAATATTAATAGGGATTTTTTAAAATGTTACATTTTAAAAATTAGTATGTACATAGCAAAGTTATATGTAATCTCTTCATCGTGTGGGATTTTATTAGGACACTCAAGGTTTTAGATAATAAAAATAATAAGAGTTGTGTGATACATGTTCTTTATAAAGTAATTTCTCTTTAAATGTGATTTAATAAACTCTTGTATTCTTTTCTGTGAGTTCATACCTTAGTTCTATATTTTAGAATATGAGTAAGTTAAATTGTTTCTTTGTCAAGGAGAATATTTTATTATAGAGACTTTCTAAGAATGCATAATTCTTTATAATGAGGCATAACCTTGTAACATTTCATATACACATATTTTATAGATGCAAGAAACCAGAATTATTCATAATCATCTTTTGGATTCCTTTTTCTTTATTTTAAATAAATATATGCTATTGTGATTTTTTTAAAAAACACAGTTCTTCAACCTTCCTTGTTTATTTATATCTAAATTTTATCCATTTTTTAAAATTCATGGAATATAGTTATTCAGACATTGTTTTCTTACATTAAAAACTCAAGTTCATTGCTTTTGGGTCAGAACCAACTCATAGCTGACCCTTGAGCGGGTTTTTGGGAGACTTCAAATTGCATGGGAGGAGATTGTCCATCTTTTCTCTTGAAGAGCTGCTGGTGGATTTGAACCATCAGCAAGGTGCTGCCTTCGGGTTAACAGCAGAACTCCTTATGGTCTACACCACCAGAGCTCTTTATTTCTTACACAGAAAAAGCACATAAAAGAAATATTTTATTAGCAATATATTCTAGAAAAGTGACCTGGATACTTTATCTTTGCACACTTCTGCACTCTGCTTTGTATGGGAATCTGACCTATATGGGCTTGATCAGTGATTTTCTTACCCATAACCTTTTGTTTGGTTTGGCTACATTTGACACCAGCAGGATGGCAGAGGTAGGGAGGAAAAATAAGATCTGGGTGTTTATATATCCAAATTACTTCCTGTGGGATTGCATTGCTTTGGTTGTATCCTTCCACTTAAAGGCCACGACTCCTAGGTCCTCTCTTTATAGCAGCCTGTTAGGGCTGAAGTGACCTCCTCTCTCCTCCCCTTATGTCTGGGAATGCTAGTTGTGTTATCTTTTGATAATTTTTCTAATCTCTGCCCTATCCTTTGTAAAGTTTCTCTTTTAATCTCTCCTTGATTACTCTGCTTGCTTGTGCTTTTTCTTTCTTGTTACAGTTCAATTCAAGAGATATAGGAGAATCTGATATCTATGATACTCTACTTGCACAAGTCAAAAAATATTCTTTTCGTCATTCACTTCTTTTATTACAAAGCCTTGAATAAATACTAAATTGAGAGTCAGAAAAATCTGTAGTTAAATCTCAGACTTAAGTCTACAGCCTTGCATTGCTTTTTTTGTAAAGGGAAACCTATCTTGTTCCACTCCATTAAGGAACTCCATTCTAGCTCTATGAGGTGTCATTTTGTGATATATTTGTACTGTCTTTTCTTGACTGAAAAGTCCTAACCTGTAGTTAGGGATGTTGTACATATTGTATCAGATTGTTAACTAAAAGCTGATGATTTAGATCTGCCAGGAAAAGATGGAAAATCTCTTTTCATAAAGAGTATGGAAACCCAGTGGGATGCAATGTGAGTCAGAATTGATTCTGTTGTATTTTGTTTTTTTTTAACTTTTAGTTTAGTTTCTTCCACAAAGAAATTTTTTAAAAAAAATTATAGTTTGCCTTAAGAGAAAATTTTTTAAAAGCTAGCATAAAGTAATTTATGATTATTCTGGAAAATTGTGTGATTACTTTATAAAATAACATAAATAAGCAGTTTTCTGTTGGGAAATGTTAGTATTTGAAAAAGTTCTTATAAAAGCCCTATATGTTACCATTGAGTCAGTTCGAGCAAATAGCATCTTACATTGAGTCTCTAAGGCTGTGAATCTCAATGGAAGGAGACTGTCCCTTTTTGTACCATGGAGCAGCTAGCTGATGGATGCAAACTGTCCACTGTTATCCTTAACCTACTATACCAGGCCTCCTTAGAAAGTGCTATAACAGGAATGTTTTAAACTGTCAACTCTAGAAGTCATTTGAATCAGAACTGATTTTGAGGGCAGCACTTCTAACTACTTACTTTACTAGTTAGTATTAGAATAATTTTAACCTCTCTTTTTTTTTTTTTTTTACTTACAGCTAAGATATATCTATTGCATGTAACAGCTGGTGAAATAGTTTTGCTTTCAGAAAACCATCTTTAATTTTGGTTTAAAATGGATGTTGTTTTTGATTGCTGTCAAGGCAAGAATGATTCATAGTGACCATATGAAAAAAAAGCCTGAAGCCTTTTTATAACTGTCATCATTTCTCAAAGTTCATAGAGTTTCTAGAGGCATGTTGTTTAGGAAGTGGATACCACTCCTGCTTCCAAACCTGTCTAAAATGGGAGCTCCACCAAACACTGTTACCATGGGTAACCGTTATGACATTTGACACCCAGTGGCACAAAGTTCAGCATCACAGCAACCCCAGGTCAGGTCACTTCATTACAGCATATTGACAGAAGAGTGCTGTACCACTTAGAAGAATGCTCCTCCAAAATATTGTAACAACTGACTTTTAAATACAAAGACCCTCCCCAAGGTCTTGTTGACTCTAAACATGAGGTCTAAATAAAAAACTACCAATATAGTATGTTTTTGTTGTTATGTGCTGTTGAGTCTCCTACGGTGAATAGCAACCTTATGTACAGGAGCTATGAACCCTTCCCTGTCTTGAGCCAGTCTCACTAAAAAGAAAGTGATAAAAAAGTGGATAATAAGAAAAAAGTAGATAGTAAATTCTTTAATGAAGCCCCCTGCTGGCATTGAGGATAGAAAAATGGATGTTGTTGTTATTGTTGTTGTTGTTATGTGCCGTGGAGTCACTTGCGACTCATAGCGACCCTATGTACAACAGCCCTAAACGCTGCTCTGTTGTGTGCCAATTGCACTGTCTCTGACACTCCCATCCCGATTATCCCAGTCACTGAATCAATCCACCTCTTAGAGGGCCTTCCCCTCCTGTGCTGTCCCTCCACTCTCCCAAGCATGATGTCCTTCTCCAAGGACCGGTCTCTCCTCACAACATGTCCAAAGTATGTTAGACGGAGTCTCAGAATCCTTGCCTCCAGGGAGCCACCTGGTTTAACCCTTTCCAGGATGAATCTGTTTTCCTGGCAGTCCATGGTATTCTCAGTACTCTTCTCCAGCACCACAGCTCAAAGGCATCAATTCTCCTTCTATCCTCCTTGGTCATTGCCCAACTCTCTGATGCATAACAAGTGATTGTGAAGACCATGGCCTGTATCAGACGCACCTTAGTCTCCAGAGAGAAACCATTGCTCTTCAGTACTTTGGAGAGATTCCCTAATAGCAGACTTTCCAATGGCAATGTGCCTTTTAATTTCCTGGCTGCTGGTGCCAAGACTGTTGACTGTGGAGCCAAGCAAACTAAAGCTGTGTACAATCTCAATCTCTTCACCATCCATCCTGATGCTGCCAGTTGGTCCAGTGGTGAGAATCTTTGTCTTCTTGACATTGAGTCTCAATCCATATTGGAGGCCGCAGTCCTTGACCCTCTGCAGCATGTGCTTCAGGTCCTCTTCAGTTTCAGCAAGCAGGGTTATGTCATCTGTATAACGCAGATTGTTGATAAATCGTCCACCAATCTTGACCCCACATTTCTCCTCATAGAGCCCAGCCTCCTGGATAATTTGTTCTGCATACAGGTTGAAAAGGTATGGAGATAGGATGCATCCCTGGTGTATGCCCTTCCCAATTTTGAACCATGCAGTGTTCCCTTGCTCTGTTCTGACGACTGCCTCCTGGTCCAAGTATAGGTTTCACATTTGAACGATCAGGTGTTCTGGGATTCCCATTCTTCTCGGAGTCAGCCACAGTTTTTTATGATCCACAGAGTCAAATGCCTTTGCATAGTCAATGAAACACAGCTATCTGCATTCCTCTGGTATTCTCTGCTTTCAGCTAAGATCCATCTAACATCAGCTACAATATCCCTAGTACCACGACCCCTTCTAAACCCAGCCTGGACTTCTAGTAGTTCTCTGCTGATGTGCTGTTCCAGTTGTTTTTGGATAATCTTCAGTAAAATCTTGCTTGCATGTGAAATCAGTGAGATTGTTCTGTAGTTTCCACATTCTGTTAGGTCACCTTTCTTTGGGATAGGAAAAAATATAGATCTCTTCCAGTCAGTTGGCCAAGTGGTTGTTCTCCAGATTTCTTGGCACAACTTGGTGAGCACGTCCAGGGCAGCATCTGTTAGCTGAAATATGTCAATTGTTATACCATCTATTCCTGAAGCCTTATTTTTTGCCATTTCCTTCAAAGCAGCCTGATAATGGATAAATGTTTAAAATTTTCATGGTGGTTGTTATGTGCTTTTGAGTCACCTGCGACCCTCTATACAGCATCTCCGAACTCTGCCCTGTCCTGAGCCAATCTCACTAATTCTGACATGCCAACCCTGATTGCCTCAGTCACTGTATCAATCCATCTCATCCAAGGTCTTCCTCTCCTGTGCTGTCCCTCCACTCATCTAAGCGTGTTGTCCTTCTCTAAGGACCGGTGTCTCCTGGCCACATGCCCAAATAAGTGAGGCGGAGTTTCAAAATCCTAGCTACCAAGGAGAATCTTGGTTTCATTCTCCCCAAGACGGACCTATTAGTTTTCTTGACAGTTCTTGGTGTCTTCAGGACTCTTCTCCAGCACCAGAACTCAAAGGCATCAATTCTTCTGTTGTTGTTAGTCATTGTCCAACTCTCTGAAGCATAACAAGTAATTACAAAGACCATGGCTGGATTCGGTGCACCTTAATTTCTATACTGACACCATTGTTTTTCAGTATTCTGGAGAGGTCCCCGACAACAGATTTTCCCAATGTAATTCGTCTTTTGATTTCCTGACTGCTGTTGTTAACAGTGTTGATTGTGGAGCTAAGCAAACTGTAAATGTTAGCAACCTCAATCTCTTCTCCATCTATCATGGTGCTGCCTATTGGCCCAGTGGTGAGAATCTTTGTCTTCTTGATGTTGAGCTCCAAACCATATTGAAAACTACAGTGCTTGACCTTCTGGAGCAAGTGCTTCAATTCTTCAATTTCATCAAGCAAGATTGTATCATCTCCATAGTGTAGATTGTTGATGCGTCTACCTCCAAGCCTGTTGTCATATTCCTCCACATAAAGCCCTGCTTACCAAATGATCTGCTCTGCAATAGGCTGAAAAGATATTGAGACAGGATGCATTCCTGATGCACTTCTTTCCTGATTTTGAACCATGCAGTGTTTTCCTGCTCTTTTCTGAGGACTGCTTCCTGGTCCAAGTATAGGTTTTTGATGATTGCCGTTGGTTAAATGTTGGCTTCCGCTGTCCGAAGGTTAATTTTTTTGTTCGTGTTTGCTGACAGGGTGCAATATGTGACTTTTGTGAAGCTTGGGTTTGCCATGGACGGAAATGCCTCAGTACACACGCTTGTGCCTGTCCTCTCACTGATGCTGAGTGTGTTGAGTGTGAACGAGGAGTATGGGACCACGGTGAGTGATTACATTTACAAGGTGAACTCAGCCACAATGCCTTCTATAAGTGAAATCCAACATAAGGGATACTTGTGGTAAGATTTCTTTTTCAAGATTATGTTTACTGCTATTCCTAACTTTTTGAATCTTTTTTGTTTTTATTACTTGGAAAAGGATTTATATGAGCATTGATAGTAGTGCTGATCTTAACAGGTTAGAGAAGAAATTTTTTTAATATCATGAATTTTATTTATGTAGCCAAGCGATAGTAGAAATCCATTTTTTCTATGTTTCAGTTTCACATATTTTAGCAGTTTTTGTTTTTGCTTTTACCAGAACAATACTAGACCATTTGGGTAAACCTCTGAACTTTCCATCTTTTCCAAGTAGTTTTACAGGGGAGGGTTTTTAAAAAAAAAAACGTTTATTATATTTACATTCGTGTTTTTCTTTTTTCGTTCCAATAGGTGGCAGAATATTCAGTTGTTCTTTTTGCCATAACTTTCTCTGTGAAGATGATCAGTTTGAACATCAAGCCAGTTGCCAGGTTTTAGAGGCAGAAACCTTTAAATGTAAGTTTTTAGATTCTTACTAGGAGAAGTATGAAACTTAATGAGAAGGAAGGTACCTCGTTTTTATGTGAACTTTTATGGAAATTTAAATAGGTGTCTGTATTTTTCTCTAGAAAATTTTTAGGATACGTAGTCTGTTCTAAACAGGTGTCATTTGGTTAGGTCAGTTCTTAGTTTGAAGGGGTTGATCAGACATTGTAAGATTTGGCACATTCCTGGTCATTAGTGCTAAGTGTCTTTTTTCACCTCTCAGTTTTGTAATAACCAACCCTCTCCCTAATCACACATTTCCAAATGCTATAAGGCTAGTGATAATTCCTCTGGTTAGTGCCATTGATTCTTAACACGTTGCTGCACTGCCGTGCTTAGACACCCCCCCCCACCCCATTTATTGTATTGCTGTCATTTGTGGCAATGTGTTAAATTGCATCGTGCTTTGGAAACACCCTGGGATTTAAAAAAAAAAAGCTAAGTGCCTAGACCTAACTCCAGGAGAGTGTATTAAGTCTGCTGAAGGTGCTTAGTATTTGTATTTAACCTCTACAAGTTATGGTCACGCATCTACCAGTCCTGTACCTATTGGGCCATTGGTACCATCTTTTGTACAACTGTATTGATTCTTAGAAGATAAAGTTTTTGAATCAAACGCTACTTTTTTTTTGCTTATTAGCTTTATTGACCTTGGACATATTAAACTTTTTTTAAACCTCAGCTTCCTTATGTTTAAGAAGATTCTAACTTTCTCCATAACAGGTTACTTTAAATGATAATATGTAAAACTTGTGGTATGATACCTGGCCCTTAAACTAAAATCAAAACCACACTCCTCAAGTGAATTCATAGGGACCTAAAAATACAAAGTAGACTACTGTAGCAGGACTTTCAGAGCTATAATTTTTTTTTATTAATTTTAATGAAAATTTACAGAGACTTTGGATTTCCATTCATTCATTGTTGCACTTTCCTCCCTGCCCCCCCCTCCCCCCACCCAGTACACTCTTCTCTTTGAAAAGTAAAAGTTCCCCCATTGTTTTACAATCCCTCCCCCCAGGTCCACAGAGCTATAAATTTTATGAAAAGTAGCCTGGAAGTTTCAACTGCCAAATTTTTAGTTAATGGCCCAAGTGTTTAACCACTAAGCCTACCAGGTCTCTTCTGCTTAGCACATAGAAAACCCTTATTAAATAGTGAATGACGTTATAAGTTACCTAGAGAGTCACACTGTTCATTTAATTCTTGTTCCTGTATAGAGTGCTACTCTTTAGCTCATCTGACTCTTTAAAGTTGACGAAGTCATCAGTTCCCTAACAAATGCATAATTATTGAAATATGTAAAAGTTCCCAAAGATTATAGGAGAGTCTCAAGCTGTACAGCATTTCATAATATATAAAAAATACTAAAATGAATTAATGTGGGGTGGGGCATAAGATCCTAGCATGTTTTATAGACTTTGAACCGTTAGGCAGCTATGAATGCTAAGGCTAAATTCTGATTCTAATGCTAAGGCTGATTTAATGAAAGCAACAGAAAAAAACCCAACTGAATTTCATCAACATTTAAAGATGAATCTGTTGTTATTATTATGTCATTGTTGCTCGTTGTTGGAGCAGATTCACAAAGTTCTTCCTATAATTTTTTTTTCTTTACCAGTTATAATTAGACGCTTGAAATATTTTCTCTGAAATACTATTCAAATAAGGTACATAAAGCCTACATTCATAGAGGGTATTTCCACCCATACACTGGCTATATCTTGAAATTTATGGATTTGATATTATACCTGTGGATTTTGAGGTTTAGAATTTAACATGCATATTAACATACTTGGATAATTAATTACTGTTTGCAGGAATGCTATTCTGAGGAAAAGAAAAATTCATATTTAATACTTTGTTTTTGTAATTCATAATTAGTAAATGACCTATGGACTTGGAATTTACATTTTTAAAATAGCTCTTGTCAGTGAGCTTTGATGCCTACCAACCCTCAGTGCGTGAACTGATAGTACAGAAAAGAAATCTGGGATTTTAAACTAGGAAATTCATACTACTTTCAGAGTTTGGGAGAATTCTACTCTATATACAAATCTGACTAAAGATTTTAACATTTGAGAAAACTTGGGCATTAAATAATTGAAGTATTCAGCTCTGGTGGCTTAGTGATAAGGAGTTGTACTGCCAACCCAAAAGCAGGTGGTTTGAATCCACCAGCTGCTCCATGGCAGAATGATGAGCAGGCTACTCCTTTGTGATTCACAGCCTCTGGAGTGTTAGCCTATTGGAGTGTTAGCTATGAGTCAGTTCAGACTTAAAGACACACAACAATAACAAAGTGGAATGTGTGAGTATGTGTGTGGGTTTGGAGAAGATAGAGGAAGAAAACGGAAAGTGTCATTTTGATTCCTAACAGTGGCAGCCTCACAAATGAGAGTGAGAGTGGATAGACAACAACAGATTTCTTGGAATTGTGTTTTAGTGACACGGCTGTCAAATAGGCTCTGGGTGTGAGCAAAGATTCTGTACTGGAAATATTTGGGAACTTGGATTGAGAGCTCTTTGTTTTTAATATCTGTCTGTGTATTTGAAAGATGTAGAGAAGTTTGGCTAAATAAATCCTCTTTTTGGTGAGTAAGTAGAATAGGGGGGTGAATTAAGGCTTATCCTAAATACTTTTGGCATGTTTGAGAGTTGTTGTTATGTGCCATCGAGTTGCTTACAACTCATAGCAACCCAGTGTGTAAAAGCCCTAAATGCCGTTCTATCCTGTGCCAACCTCGCCATTTCAAACACACTCATTCCCACCACTCCACTCACAGAATCGATCCATCTCATCAAGGGTCTTCTTCTCCTGCGCCGTCCCTCCAC